ATATGTAAGAACTTGAGTACTTGACAGTAAATGCTAAAAGCTTTTTTCCGGTTCTTTTTATTTATAGAAAAAATTGCAGCTAATGTGCTTTAGTCTTAAGTTCATAAGCTTCATTTTAATCAAAGCTTAATCTCACAAATGTAGCCCTAAAAGTGAAAGCTCAGTAAGCTTTGAAAATCAATTAGAAATTTATTCATTCTCCTTGAAGTTCATTAAAGCTACTCTTGCAACTAGCTATTTGACCTACATGCAGCAAGCAGGCACTTGACTTTGAAGTTATTGATACACATAAAGCAACCTCAAGCATTTGGGCAATTTAATCAATTTGAAATCACTTTAATCATCATTTAAATCTTTTGCATAATTTTTTAACAGCAGTATCATATATCGCAGCCATTTAGCGCTGATTAATCAGATACAGCCCGATATATGTATAGCTGTAAATTAACTCGATTTAATGGCCAAATAAATAAGTCTTAAATATTTATGAAACGTGGGCAATGCAGCCAGCGCCTGGCTTACCGCGTGCACAGACCAAATGCCACCTGTTTTATATTGAATTTCATGTTAATTTGCTTCGTTTTTTGTTTTGTTTTATTACAACGATTTATAATATTTAACAAAATTATGCGCATTTTTGATTTGCACTATAAAAACCAAAGGTAAACGCCACAAGAAAAAACATGCCAATTAATTATGCAAATCCTCGCTTTTGATAACTAATCTACAGCATCTTCGAATGCTTTTCACATTTGATAAGAAAATATGTTAATGAAAACTTTATGAAATGCCTGCCTGTGTGTCTGTGTGTGTGTGTGTGCTTTGCTGTGCCTTTAATTGCGCTGAGCGCCAAGATACATTACTCATACGCCACGTACGCCGCTGTAGCAACTTTTTGATAGATAAGCCTCGAGCCGTGACGTTCATTTATCATAGAAAATTCATGAGGCCGCTCAACGACCCGTCCACAACTTCCCATAGCCCCCGAGACGACCTGCAGCTATTAGGCAACGTGCGTGTTGCGACCGTCTAATGGTCTCGAGTGGCGCGGCGTGTAGCCTATAGGCTCTCGTTCGGACTGTTCATTTTCATTTGTTGGCTTTTCAGCATTTGCGTAATGTATAAATTCAATTCAATTCATTGGCCATACTCGACTAAGCGATGTAGTACATGTGCTCTGCGATTCACTTGGTGATCCCTAATAAATGGAATTGAGGAAGTGACGAATCTATTTAAACAAAGATTTTAAGAAAAACTGAAGAAGCTAAATGTTTAATGATACAAGATAAAGCTATAGATACATATATATATATATAGATGAAGAATAACTTTAAACGTGCGGAATTCACCAATCCAGGTGGAAAACGTGTGGAAGTTATAGATAAACCTTTTCATCTGGCAACTTTAAGAACAGCATCTGTTACTAGCTGATGCTGATATACTACATAAAGCTGTAGTGCTTAAAAGTTATTAAATGCATAATTCACCAAGTTAAGTGGAATATAGGTGGAAGTTGAAAATTTGAAAAAAACATTTTGAGAATAATTTGCATAGCTTAGAAAACACTATATACAAATTTTGTTTATGTCAAAATTTCAGGACATCAACAAGTAGCTGATTATTTGAACAATAAGTTGTTAGGATCATATATGATAATATATGATATGATATGATATGATATAATATATAATTTTATATGATATGATATAATAAATTATAATATGATATGATATGATACGATATGATATGATATTATATGATATAATATGATATGATTTGATAAAATATAATATAATATGATATGATATGATATAATAAATTATAATATGATATAATATGATATGATTTGATATGATATGATATGATATGATATGATATGATATGATATAATATGATATGAAATGATAGTAGATCAAGCTTCAAGCTATTGAAGGCCAATTTTTATGAAGTCTGATAAGCAATAGATAAAGGTTAAAAACTATTTATTTGTTTGTCATTTTAAGCTTATACCAAGAGCAGACTCCCTTACCTTATAGAGCATCTCACATTGCGCTTGGCTGTTCCCAATTTCGAATTCAGTTAGCGCCTATAAGTACATACGATATGTATCTTACAGAGTGGCTTAGGCCAAAGTTAATTTGCAAGGCGGCGTGTTTCATATCGGAGGAGGAAAAAAATTGAATGCTTTCAAGATGACTCAACAACAACAGTGAATCGAGTGGTTGTTGTTGGTGGTGCTGCTGGTGCTCTGGTCGAACCACTTGAGAGAAAAACATGTTCTTTTGGTTTATCTTGGCGCCACGATCGTTCGGCACCGGGCGCGGTATTTGCTCAAAAAACACAAAGGCGATAATTAAAGGCAAAAACAAAGCTGGCCGAGAACACAGACAGCGAGAGAGCGTAGCAGTGAGAGGCAGAGAGAGATAGAGAGAGCGGCAGAGGGAGAGAGGGAGTGTAAGAGATAGAGACCCAAAAGGCAGAGCCAGACACATCAAGTGGTCGGCCTTTAATTAGAAAAGGTGTAGAGCTCAACAAAAGCACACACACACACGCACACACACGTACACACGCACACACGCACAAAGCACAAAGATCTCAAGTCAAAGTTGCCTTTGCAAAGTGCATAAAAAATGACGACAGCTAATGAATGTCGGATGGAATCTGAATCCAAGCAAGACTACGTGCAGCAATTTATTAGACAGATGATGTGCCAACAAGGCAAAGTTTTGGAAAAAAAAGCTGAGAAAAAATATAATAATAAAAGCCCAAAAAAGATATAAACTAAAGATAAAACTTCATAATTGTGGCTGTGTGGCCAAGAAAAACAAAAGTTGTTGTTGCTGCTGCTGCTGCTGCTGCTGCAGTTGCGCTGACTGTTGCTCTAGCCATATCTCGCATGTAAGTGTTAATGAAGTTAAGTGTTTCTGACGCGAACGACCAACAACAACAACAACAACAATTAATGAGAAGTCGCATACCAAACAAAAACTAAAAAAATAAAACAAAAAAAACTTCAACGAGGGCGAAACGCACAAAAATGTTCGAGCCACATGATTAAGATCAACAATAGCAAAAAAAAAAGATGAAGAAGTAGAGGAATACATATGTATATATATATATATATATATATATATATATATATATATGTGTGTGTGTGTGAAGAGCAGACCGCATAGGCCAAAGACCAAGCCAATGTCTGGCAGTTGGCTCAAGGCAAACCAAACTACAAGTTCGAGCTGTCGAGCCCAGCGAACTGCCAAAGTGAAACCCAAATCCAACCTAATTGAAAGCTGACAGATTTCCATGGAAAACAGCGACAGGTTTAGCTAAAAGAATATGAAAATAAAAGAAACTTAACGTAAATAGCAGTTGACAAAAGGCAAATTATAAAAGGATAATCAGCAAACGCACTAAAGTCTGAGGCAGGTATAAAAAACTTTGAAGATTTGTCATAAGGTATACAAAGTAAGTAAGTAAGTAATGCCTATGCCAAGTTACTTGAGTTTAATCAGAGTAATGTCATAATTACCTTTAAAATTCTAGCAAAATGTTGAAAAGGTTACGATGACTTCAGGCTGAAAAAAGCTTTAGGAGCGTATATTTAGTATATGTTTTTAGATCTTATATTTATTGAATTAAACATATTGATAAAGTTGGGTAGATATATATATATATATATAGACAGTTGCACATTTACTGAGCTGTTGAGCCTTAACCAGCATTTATACTCCACGCTGTCAGCCATATCTCACTGCCTCTGAGTATCCTTCCTTTTTATTTTCAGCTTACGCACAAAAACCCTAACCACCTATTTTTAACCCTCTAGTTAGTATCATAAAAACAAATTTACTACAATTGATATTAATAAAAGCCTAAGTCAAATATCATTTCCTTAAGAGCCAATTACAAAAACAGAAATAAGACGTCAGAAATGTTAAAAATGTTGTGATAGATAAAAGTCTAAATGGCTGACAAATGTTTAATCTTAACCTTCGAGTGGCTGATATCTTAAATTGCATTTCATAAGGCAGTCAGATAACCCAGAATTCCACATTTCCATTGTGCAGGCAAAGAGAACCAGGTCAGCTAAACAATGGAGTCAACTTAGTCGACTCCACGGCAAATCTCGCTCGCGCTTCAGGCAGCAGCGCAATCGCTCACTGGGCGGGCAACAAAGCAAGCCGAACAACTCATTTTTCACAGCACTTTGTCTTCAATTGTCGAGGCGAGTCGAGTCGAGTTGAGCTGAATTGTGGAAATGACAAAGCAACTAGCTGGGGACTCCTTTTGCATAATGCTTATGCAATTAAAAAGCACGTCCTGGTGCAGAGTGAAAATAAGAAATTGGGTCAGCTTAGCTGAGAGCTGCAGGGAAAAAAAATTCGTGTGCTACTTAATTAATTAAAAGGGCTAACAAAAGAATGGCAATAAAAGAAAATAAGCAAGGATCAAGCCAAATGCAGAGCTGGGCTTAAGTTTTTGATATCTGCGGCTTATGCGGCGTATGAGTAATGAAATGGCCAGCAACACAGCGTCGGGGGCAGGGCGTGTGTTTGGGCCAGCTGTGGAATTTTCAATTAACTAAAAATATACTCAACAGAGATGACGCTACAGAGACTACACTTCACAGTTGACGACGTCATTAATTAGGAATGCTCGAGAGGCGGCGCAGTCGCCTTTCAAGTATTTTGTCTGGCGCTTTGTGTTGGCGTTGAGGCATAAAAGTTTATTTTATTTCTCATTTCATTTTTTTTCTTTTGCTTTTCGTGTAATGCGTTTTTGTGCAAATTGCAAATAAATTGCAAGCAGCCGCAGACAAAGTCAAAGGCAACTTGTGCCGCCAAAAGAAAAAAGTAAAAAACAAAAAAAAAAAAACACAGCTGCAGATAAGCAACAACAATGCTGGCAGCGACATCAATTTCATGCCACTTTGCATTTTAATTAAAATGGCATCTATAACTCACACTGAACCGCGCTCTTTCTCTTCTCTAATTTTACAGTTCAGGAATGCACCACAGACTCGGAGGAGCTGATGTACCATCAGGTGCGCGCCTCATCTTCATGCAGTGCGCCGCCTGATTTGTTGCTGGTCAGCGAACGTGAGAATAATATACAACTTCGATCGCCTGTGGTTAACATAATCACCACGCCCCCGGGCAATGCATCAAACGTTGCAGTCGCCAAGCGAGAGCAGCAGCAGCCACTACAGCAGCAGCCGCAGCCGCAACATCATCATCATGTGACCCGGCAGCAGCAGGAGATGAACAGCAGTGGCAACCATAGCAAACACTTGCGCATCAGCAGCGCCAATGGCAAGCACAACAAATATGTAAATATGCCACAGCAGCTGGAGGAGGATGTGGTCGACGCAGCAGCAGCAGCAGCAATGCCCATGCCACATGCAACACATCCGCAATACAATTCGCGACATTTGCATCATCACAGCAAGGAGGAGCGCATACGTTTGGAGGTGGGTTCAAATATGAATTGATTGAGAATTTTCCAATGAAGATTTCAAGTGAAATGCAATTTAATAAAAAGCATAAATAAATTCAGTAATCGAAATTGAGAATTAGTTAAATTAAATATAGTAAAAATATAAAAAGTAGTCAATTAAATTAAGTAAAAATATTTAACTAATTTCAAATTTAACGTGACTTGCATATCGTTGGCAACACTTTTAGTTTACAAGTTGGCAACGCTGAAGCGCTAAGCTTACAACTTTTCACACTCATAGAAACAAATTGGAAATGAAACACGTAAACACAAGGGAATTCAAACCAGCAGCCAAAAAGGCTTTAGAAACTTTTTGTGCGTATTTTTTATATTGAATATTGAATATGAAGTGCAGCTATATATCAAATATGGTTTCCATATATATGCTCGATTATAGTTCGGTCAACAATTTACACTTTTTACGCTGCTTACAAAGCTAGCATGCGCCATAAAACCAAAAATTTTATGAGCAAAACATTCATTTCATACTGAATGGAGTTCCAATTACGAATGCCAATTATTAAAATCGAAAGTTTATCTATGCATAATTCAATTTACAACATGCGCAGCAATAGACTTTCAAATTTGTTGTGCGATTCGCTTAGACTTCTCCGATTTCCGATGGGTTTCGTTGAATGAATCGCATATAAATTAAATTATGTTTTGATTTCCATTTTCTAATGGGCCCCCAGCTAGGCGAAAATGTGCTACGTTTTTCCCTTATTTTCTTTAGCTGCTGGTCAAGTTTAATCAACTGAATTTTGTTGCCATATTTCAATGTGCCCACTGTGCCCAGCACATAAACTCAACTTTTAAATGTGCTTTTAATTAAATTTTCATTGCTTTGCAATACAAACAAAAACACGAACAAGAACAATTGCATTAGGCCGCTGCTTTTACCATTAACACAATGTAGCCGGCAATTTTCAATTACCACCCACTGTAACAGGCATTCGCCTGTCTGCGGCCAAAAAATATCAAAACATTAAAATTCAATAAAACCCATTAAAAGCGCAGAAAATACAAAAAAAAAATACAGAAAAAAACACACAAGCAAAACAAAAACAAAATACAGCCAGAAAACTCAAAGCGAAAGCACTTAAAGGCAATTAAAAATCTTCAAGCCAAGTAGCTAGAAATTATATTTATTTCTCGCTCTCGCCGCACTGCTCTCTATTTCAAGTGGAAGTTGTTAGATGCAGGAGACCGAGGAAGAGAGAGAGAGAGAGAGAGAGCGTGAGAGAGGGGGAGCTTGGTGGTTGTCTTTGCTAGCACTTTATCAATGGCAAATGCGGAATGGTGGGAGAGAGGGTGGCATGTAGCCTAAAGTTGCTGTTGGTTCTGTTTCGGCTACTTTTTGTTTCATTTCGTTTTGGTTTCGTTTCGCTTTTTGTTTTGATTCCGCTGCAGTTGGTGGCGCAGCGTGCGAGAAATTAAATATTTAGTCAAATTATGGCCACAATTTTCGAGTCTATTTGCAGACATTTTATACTTTTTGCTGTTGTTGCTGTGGTAATTGTTCTGCGTGTTTTTGCGGCTATGCTACACACACACACACACACACACACACAGCTGTAGAGCGTGTTTCCAGCTGCGGCAGCAAAAAGTGCTGCATACTTTTTGGCTGGTGCTTTAAATTGCATTTTGGCTTGTCGTGCTGGGTGAGGCAACTGCTGCAGCCAGTCTAGCTTAGTTTTCTTCTTTTACTTCATATATTTTGGCTGTTTAAACAAGTTAAGTATTGCACTCTATTAGCATTTTTAGCACTCGCTCAGCTGGCAATATTTGCGCATAGCTTCAAAGTTATGTCTTGCCCAAATGGCGCTGGCAAACTTTTGGACTAACTCACATAAGTTGCAATAAGTTGAGAAAGTGGTTTCAACACGAATCTTTTAAGAGTCTTTACTTAAAGCTCAAGCAGAAATTCATTAAAAATATCTTTATTCATATCAATCTTTTGTTCACTTTCCAATATATTTTCTTTTTTTTTCTTGCTGCGAAATAGGAATTCACCTGCGATGTATCCGTTGAGGGTGGCAAATCGTCGCAGCCGCTGCAATTTTCATTCACATTCTATGATCTGGATGGGCATCACGGCAAAATAACAAAGGACGACATTGTGGGCATTGTGTATACCATATACGAGTCCATTGGCAAGTCCGTGGTGGTGCCACACTGTGGCAGCAAGACAATTAACGTGCGCCTCACCGTCAGTCCGGAAGGCAAATCGAAAACGCAGGCAGCTGCCGCAGCAGCAGCCGCGGCTGCCGCGGCCGCCTCCACATGCCACAACAACAATAACAGCAATAGCAACAACAACAACAACAGCAGCAGCAGCAGCAAACTGAAGAAGCTGCCCACGGGGCTGGCGGCAATGTCAAAAACAGCAGCAGCGAACGGCGTGGCACTAACGACATCCGGCGGCGCACGCCGCCAGCATCGTCATCGACCACGCAAACTGATTAAGTCCGATGACGAGGACGATGACAGCAACAGCGACAAGGAGAAGGAGCTGGCAACAGCTGCCGTCGAGCAGCAGCCCAGTGGCAGTGGCAGCGGCAAGCAGTCGAAGCCCAGATACCAGAGAAACAATACTAAATTGGAGCCATGCTGCAGCGGACAGCCGCAGTCGGAGCAGCACACGCCGGACAATGGCCACAACAATACCTGCGAGAATATGCTGAATCTCAAATGCTGCAGCGCTGCCAACAAGGAAGCAGCTGTCGATGTCCTCGACTGCCCACAGCGGGCACAGCGACATCAGCACCACAGCCACCACAGCAATAGCCACAGTCACAGCCACAGCCACAGCCAGGATGTCTACATGAAGCAGGCAACACAGCGTGTCAAAATGTTGCGGAAAGCGCGAAAACAGAAGGTAAGCGACAGCTAAACAATTGCAAAGCCAACTTCAGCCTAGACCCGAGACTTGGGCAATGGAAGCAGCAGAATCAACAGGTGGCATCGGGGCAGACAGAAGTGGAGCTTAAAATAAAATGTTAAAAGTTAGAATTGAGCTAGGGAAATCTGGTATTTAGGTCTGAATGAGCAACGCCTTTCTATGCGATTTTCATGAATGAGAATAAGCTAGGAGAGGAGGTAGATAGAGAGAAAGAAAGAGAGCGATAGGCAGAGAGAAAGAGAAAGAGAGAAATAAAGATAAATAAATAGAAGGAAAGACAGATGCAGAGAGAAAGGGAAGAGAGAGAGGAATAGAGAATCAGCGTAAGAAAAAAGAGAAATACGGACAAAGATTGAAAGATTAAGGCTAACATGCAGTGAGAGAGGAATTGAGCTAGGAGTTCGAGTGCCAGAGAGGCTGCATATAGGAGCTACAGAAAGAGTGAAAAAGAGAGACTGAGAATGTGAGGATCAGAAAGAGAGAGTGAGAGGTAGAGAGATGGACAGATAAAGACACAGAAAGAGTTAAAGAAACAGAGAGAGATGAACAAATAAAGAGTGAAAAGAGGAAGCTAGAGAAAGTTGGGAAAATAGAGATAAGCAATCAGGTAAGGAGTCAAAGATGTAGAGAGAGAAGAAGAGAGAGAGTGAGAGTGGCAGAGGGAGATAGAGCGAGAAAGAGTGAGAGTGGCAGAGACTTAGAGAGGGAGAAAGCGTAAAGGTAGCTTGAGAAAAAGAGAGACAAATAGAAAAGAGGCAATAAAAAAAGGAAACAGATTCAGATTTGTTTGCTAGCAGTGGGTTCTTCTCTCTATAGACATGTAATCGATGCTTAGATTCAGGCCTTTCTTATATATTTCATTTTATAAAATAAAAAAAAATAATAAAAATATAATGAGATAAATAGAAATCGCTAGATTGGTCCATAAAAGGGTTTCTCAGGCCATTCAAAGTCGCTCTTTAGTTAAATTTATTTTGAGTTTAATCGTTTGCATTATTTGAAGTATTTGATTTGATTTGCTTGATTATAATTTGTTTGTTGTTTGTTCTTTTCGTTTTTGGTTGACTCGCTCATTACTTCGCATCACTAAACGCGCCATCCCAGTATCAGGATCACTGCCTTGAAACGCGGCAGCGCAGCCTCTCCGTGGGCAATGACACCTGCTGGCAGAATCGCCACCTTCAGCAGCAGCAGCCACAGCAGCCGCAGCCGCAGCCGCAGCAACAACTGGCGCAGAAGAGCGCCTCGTCGTCGCCTCCGTTGGGCGAAGTCATGCTCGATGGTGTTCAATTGCGTCAGCCACGCCCACAATCACTGCTCGCCCAGCAGCAGAGAAAATCCGCCGAGTGCTGGAAATCGGCGCTGAATCGCAACGATTTGATTAGCATCATCAGGGAGAGCATGGAAAAGAATCGCTTGTGTTTTCAGCTAAATGGGTAAGGAGAGAGCGAAGACAAAGCTGCATAAGAATGGAAATTGTGGGAGCTAAGGCAAGGGGGAATATAGGAGGTAAGGGAGGCATAGGAAATATAGGATAAATAGAAGTAAAGTATTTATAGTATAGAAGATATAGGAGGTATAGAAGAAAAAGAAGATATAGAAGATGTAGAAAGTATTGAAAGATAGGAGATCAAGGATATGTAGAGATATATACTTGATATGAGGGATATAGGAGAATTGGAAGATATGTGAGATTTAGGATATATAAGATGCATAAGATATATAGGAGATATAGAGAGTTATAGGAAATATAGCTTATGTGATATGACGAATAGAATGAAGTTGTTATAATGGATATTATCAATGCATATGAAAAAATGTTAAAGGCTACAACATGCTCTTAAAATATGAGAGTTGGGAAATAGAAGAAATAAATGAAGTACTGATTATCTAAAGATACAACTAAATTTGAAAGGGTAGGATATTATCTATGGATATGAAAGATGGCAATTTGGGATATATTATTTATGATTGTTCAAGAAAGTTAGGTGATTATCCAAAAACTAAGTAGATCGAAAATATCTAAGGACATTAAAATATGAATAGTTAAAATATTATCTAAATATATGAGAGAGTAAGTGGAATGAAAGATATATTATTTAAGTTTATAAATAAATGTTTGTGCTTGAGATACTATTTAAGAATTTGACTGAGTGAAGATATCTGAAGAAAATAATATTTATAGTTAAGATTCTATGTAAGAATATGAGAAATAGTAAATTGAATGGAAATAGAGCGTGGGAAAGTCAAGGAAAATGCTATGAAAGCAATGTTAATAGGGAAATATGAAAGATAACAAATACAATGAAATTATTTAAACTGAATTGAACTAACTTTGCCTTAATCAGGCAACAGAATAAATTCAAAGCGAAAACTGTGAGAAAAAAAGAAAATTACGAAGACTGAACTGAGTTTATTTAATTTAACTTTATTTTTACATTTTCTTTCCATTGTTCCCTTTTTCTTATAACTTTAATTAACATGTTATGCATATAGTTTTTATATAAAAGTTAAGTTTGCCAAGAATGAATTGAATTTCTCTTAAAGGCCATGGCTCCATGTCTTATAAAGGCTCAAATTGCCAGCTATGAAGCCTGAAAGTTTTCACACTCACTCTAACAAAACCTTTTGCTTTTTTATGTATTTCATAGAAAACCCCAAGCCAATGTGAGTCCCATACGGCAACCGGCAGCACAACAACAACAACAACAACAGCAACAGCAACGCCAACGCTGCAATACCGGATCGAAAATACCGACGTTAATTGCGAACCACAGTCCGCAGTCAGGTCAGTCGCCGCTCAGCTGCAGTCCGCCCACACAGTCGCCGGTGCCCAATCATATAGAGGGCGGGCACGATACGGCCAACAGCAGTGCCTATCATCCGCAGCCGCATATACCCATCTACCATCAGCAGCTGGCCATTAATCCGGCCGTGGTGGCTGCTCAGCACAGCCACAACAGCGCCCACAACAAGCTGAATCTGTGTGGCTACGACTCGTTTCTGCATGCCACCATCTGTGGCGGTGGCGCCGCCCACTCGCCGCCAGCCACGCCCAGCAATGTGGCCACCGTGCAGCCCATACCGAAGAAGAGCAGCAAGCAGCAGGGCCAAAACTATCAGCGACTCGAACAGCAGCAACAGCAGCAGCAGCAGCGCAGCAGCAAGGATTACAAAAACTATGGCAATCTGATCTATGCCAAGCTCAGCGAGCAGCTGCAGCAGAAGGAGCGCGAACAGCGACGCCAGCAGCGACACAAGCAGCAACAGCAACAGCAGCAGCTACAGTCGAAGTCAGCAGCAACACGAGAAGCCTCACGTCCCATGGTCACCTCTAGCTCCAGTTCGGCTGGTTCGAAGATCTATGGCGATGCCCTCGAGTGTGCCCATTTGCTGGCCAGCGAGGAGGAGGAGCCCACCAGTCCCATGCTGACCAGCACCCCCAGCAAGGTGGTGTCCACGGACACGTTGATCGATCTGAACGACGAGGTGGGCGAAGCTGTGGCCGAGGCTGTCACAGCCAAGGATCTGGACGAGCCGTCGGCGCAGCTGGCTGCAGATGTTGATCTGGACACGAGTGCGTCCAGCTCCATGATACATCGCTATGTGCACGAGCACATACACCATCACTATCATCACTTCAAGGAGCAGAACGACGTCTAATCCCATGTCGCTTCACTCTATTTTTTTGTTTAATCTTTAATGTAGCGCAATTTGTAATTTATTGATATTATTTGTACGATGAAGTTACATTATATATAATATATATATATAGACAGAAAAGTGAATCTGAATTCCAAGTCCTTGAATGTAGAATTCTCTCTAGCTAAAGTTAAGATTTTTGCGCCTTGCCTTAGCAACAGCATTTAGTAGCCATCGATTGCTTCGCTTATGCTCACAGCCTAGCAACATATCATTGCTGTACTAAAACAACAACTAATTGTTTAAAATCGAAACAAGCAACTAAATACGAATACTACAAATATTTGTTGTCTATTATATGAAAAGAAAAAGATGTTTAATTGCGCCCGCTTTTAAGTGTTTAGAGTGCTAAATTTGTCTATGAATGCGATCATTGCGATTGATTACGATTGATTGCAGCCATTAATATTAATATTATTTTGTAAAACCAACCAAGACACAAGAGAACAATGCAACAACAACAAACAACAAACAACAAAATACCATAAATAATAGTTCAATTATTATTATCATAATTATAATTAATTTTAATTTCCTTTATTAATCCGATTTCGTTTCATCAATCAACAACAAACAAGCACAACAACAAAATGCATTTAACTCTTATTTAAATAATAAAAAAAGACTGATTTCCAATTAAACAATACATTAATTAACTGCGTATATAAATAAATATAAATATATATAAATAAATATATATATAAATATATATCTATATATGCATACATATAGAGAATTTATGAGAAACACTAAATAAATTATTGAATTGCTAAAAATTAAATGCAACAATTGAAGTTTTTATGCAAATGGAATGTGAGGCATTCATGAGGGTGGCTTAAAGCTAAGCAATTTGCAAAAAATCAGAATGCATCCAAGCATTCAATGGGATCAGACTTTGAGAAGAGTGGTCAAGCTCCATGCTCACCAACTGGTAGTTATGCTGAGCTCCAAGCTGACTTATCTTAAGCAACGTAGGCCAGGTCGTCACTCTGAGTTGGAGTCTGAGTCTGAGTCTGAGTCTAAGTCTGAGTCTGAGTCTGAGTCTGAGTCTGAGTCTGAGTCTGAGTCTGAGTCTGAGTTGGAGTCTGAGTCTGAGTTGGAGTCTGAGTCTGAGTCTGAGTCTCTGAATTGCACTGCTTTTGCTTTTGCTCCTCTCTTTTAGGCTGCCTCTCACATTTTTCTTTATCTCTCATTACCCTTCAAGCAGCTCCGATGTGGACTTTCCTCAGTAGTTCCAACGTCACTCTCAGTCTGAGTCTTTGAGTTGCACTGATTTTACTGTTGCTCCTCTCTTTCTAAGACACAATTGCTCATCCTCTATCTGCTATGGACTCTAAGTAGTTCCTGAGCCCAGGCTCCTACTTTTTTCACAGTGTGTTTCACAGATTCATCTCCAAGCATCTTTGAGTCTGCACATTTTCTTCATTAGGATTTCTACTTTGACTTTGTCGATAGTTTATATTTTGTTTTTATTTACTCTTTACGTGTATATGTATAAATATAATATCAACAATTTTGAGAGTAATGAAATGGGTTGGACAAGAACTAAACTAATTACTTTTTATCTATATATAAATATTTAATAAATAAATATATATATATATTTATAATTTATAGCCATCAAATATTCTAGTAATAAATGCATTTAAAAGTGATTTTAGTAGATTTTTAATTGAAGTAGAATTTTTAATGCTGATTATGTCTTTAGTTGTTTGACAGACAGACGAATGAGGTTCGACTGTTAGTCCTAATTAGGAGCACAGAAAATACTTCATGGAATCAGAGATGCCTGCTTCTGCCAGTTACACAAATTTGCAGTTGATAATGGTTCAGAGTTGGGAGTATAACTCTTGGCATCTCTATAAGATTATAATGCTCGCTTTTGCTACTTAAGAGTTCAAGTTAATTACGACTACGTATAAATATGTAATGCACAGCTAACAGAAAGTGTCAAAATTGAGTTGAGTTTAGCAGCTGCTGAGTGTCTATATATTCTATAGAAACTTAGAAGAGAAAATGCCCAAAAGTGTATTATAATTATATCTGTTCAGGCTGACTTCTAGCAAAAGTTTCTTCGTTTAATTATCTTATGCTTCTAATTGGTTCTATTTTCATGAATATTTTACTTATTTTTTGTATTCATAGCTTTATTAGCTAATAATACAGTAAATAAATTAGTGTAAGAGAGAGAGAGTATTACTGAGAGCGAGAGAGAGTCCGAGAGAGAGAGAGAGAGAGAGTGGAATACAAATTGTGTATTGTTCGAGTCGGTAGAGATCTTAAAATAAATCGTCGTGTGCCAAGTGACAAGAGATGAAGATCAAGATTGAGACACAAAAGAAATTTTTGTTTGTTTCAGTGAATTTTCAGACGTTGGACGTTACGCAAACAAGCGGCGAGAACTTTTCGGTTTCAGCTGGCCAGGATTTGGAGATGAGTTCGCCAACGAAATGCGCGTACTGCCAGGCGCATGCCACACAGTTGTGTGCGGCCTGTCGCAACGTTGTCTACTGCAGTCGGGAGCATCAGAAGGAGCATTGGAAGCGAGGCCACAAATTGGAGTGCAAGTGCTATGAGCTGGACACCAATGAGCTGCTGGGCAGGCATCTGCGCGCCACGCGCGACATCAAGATGGGCGAGCTGATCATGCGGGAGGCGCCGCTAGTGCTGGGCCCAAAGGTGGCCTCGATGCCCATCTGCCTGGGCTGCCATAGAAATCTGTTGCCGCCGCAGAGGCCAGCCGTCAACTACTATAAATGCAGCGCCTGCAGCTGGCCGCTGTGCAGCGCAGAGTGCGAGAAATCCTCATTCCATGTGGGTGAGTGTCGTCTGATGGCTGCCAGCAAATTTCAGTCGAAGATCAACTATAATCCGGGACAGCCGGTGGGCAAAGAGTCCGCCTATTGCGTGATTATGCTGCTGCGTTGCATGCAGCTGAAGGAGTCGCAGCCGGCGGCATTCGCTCGACTCTGCGAGCTCGAGGATCATCTGAAGGAGCGACTCGATACGCCCTTGTATCATGTGTTGCGCGCGAATTTAATTACCTTCATCAAAACGGTGCTGGGCCTTCGGGAGTGGTCTGAGCTAGACATCCTGCGCATCGCTGCCATTCTGGATACGAATGCCTTTGAGGTGCGGCACTCAGGTGGAAGCAAAAAGGTGCGCGGCTTGTTTCCAGGCGGTGCCATGTTCTCGCACGACTGTGTGCCCAACATGCGGCATCGCTTCGACGACGACATGAACATTGTGTTCCTGGCCAAACGTTCGATTGCCAAAGGTGAAATCCTCAGCATCTCCTACACGCAACAGCTGCGTAGCACCATACAAAGGCGGCTGCACCTGAAGCAGGTGAAATGCTTTGAGTGCGCTTGTGCCAGGTGTGCAGATCCCACGGAGCTGGGCACCTATGCAGGTGCACATGTGTGTGGCAAGTGCAAAGTGGGAAAGGTATAAACTTCTAGCTAGAATTCAGATATATTTTTATTGATAATTCATATATATATATATATATATATAGTTCATCTCAATGGATCCGCTGCAAAACGCTGCCAACTGGAGGTGCGAAGTATGCAATTTGATAAGATCAGCAAAGGAATTCTTGATACACGATGCCAAAATAGAGGCTGAGCTGGAGTCACTGGACAAGACAGCGCCTCTCAGCTTTGAAGACTTTCTCTATCGCCATCGCGTTGAGCTGCACGAGACGAATACGCACATACTCCAAGCGAAATATGCCTTGACGCAGATTTATGGCAATGTGAAAGGGTTTGCTATGGAAGGTGAGACTAAATTACCAACTATAAGAAACATATATATATATTAGTATAATATAACTTCCTACAGAGCTCAGTGATGCCTCGCTTAAGCGCAAAGTGGAGCTCTGCGAGGAGCTTTTGGAGATTTCGAATTTGTTTGATAGCGGCTGGAGCATCTTTCGAGGTAACTTGCTGATTGCCTTGGAGGAGGCGATTGTGGCACAGGCTATGCGATTAGATGAAGCCAGTGAATGTGAGGCAAAGCTCAAACAAGCAGCCGAACTCTTGGAAGAAATAACAAACATTATGAAGCATGAACCAGAGATGCAACAGTTGCTGACAGAACGTAAGCAGATATTGGACGCGGCGTTGGCGCGATTTTCAAACGAGGTCCAATAATTGTAAAATTATATTAATCATTAAACGTGCTCATGAAACTCCTTTGAATTATTTGATTCATAAAAGAACTTTGGCGGCTTACGGGTTTGAATATTTTCAATAGTTGGCAACGCATTTGCTGTAAGGTAATAGCACTGCGCATTAATCGACTAGCCGCCGCACATGCAAATAATAATCGAACTATCGTACAGTTGCGATAGCTCTTGCATTGCTCTAAACAATTTCACGTGTTGCACGTTGTAATAAACTTTCCAAAGTTTTTGTTTATAAAGCACGTAAAATGAGTGTTGCGGCAGTAGACAAACAGCCAGAGCATAGCGAATCTATTGCGGAAATTGGTGAGAAGGAGTCGCAACCAGTTGAGACAGCCACTGATGGTGCAGAACCAAAAGCCGGTAATGAATTTGAATATTTGGAGCGCAATGAGTTTACATCGGAAATTTATAAAATTGAAGTGAAGAACATGGGTTATTTTGGCATTGGGGTGAGTAAATGCTTAATTAGAGAGACTTACATTAAAAATTTACACTTGCAGGAGTTCAAAAAGCTACTGAAAAACACGCTAAAGCTGGACATGACCAAAATAAAGTCACCCACCCGCAAGGAATATGCCTTCGTTTGCTTTCGTAGTCAGGCAGATCAGGAGCGAGCACTGGAGACGCTCAACGGATACAAGTGGAAGGGCAGAATACTGAAAGCATTAGCCGCCAAGGCATCTGCCGATCCGTTGCACAAACGACGCGGCGAAGCGAACGATGGCGATGTCAAGCCGAAGCGACAGCGTACAGCTGTCGAGGCTACCTGTCCCCTGGCTGAGATGCCCTATGAACAGCAGCTGGAGCAAAAAACAGAGGAAATGTCTGCTTTGCTGAAGAAATATACACAGGAGCTGCGACGTCTGAATGCTGATGCGAAGCCTCATCTGGACAAGTTTCAATTTAAGGGCGTTTTGCCCTCGCCCACTGTGGATGGCTATAGGAATAAGAACGAGTTTACAGTGGGCAAAAACGGCGAGGGAGAGATTGTAGTGGGCTTTCGTTTGGGAAGCTACAGCGACGGCTCTGTGGAAGTGGCCGAGGTGCAGGAGCTGCCACATTTGCCATCGCAAGCTAAATGGGCGGCGCAAAGCTTCCAGCAGCTGGTTAGGCAGTCCAAATTTCAGCCATTTAATCCCGTTGGCAACGTGGGTCACTTTCGTCAACTGATGGTGCGCTGCTCCACTGCCACAGGCGAGCTAATGCTGGTGGCTGGCATATACTCTTCGAATTTGAACGAAGCTGAGCTGCTGGAGCTGCAGCAGGAGCTGAAAACCTTTTACGAGCAGCCGGAGCAGAACGAAACACACAAATGCACTTCACTTTACTATCAGGATGTCAAGCATCGAGAGGCGGGACAAATGGTGAATCCCGTCACCCATCTGTCGGGCAGCACGCACATAACGGACACGATACAGGGGCTGCAGTTTCGCATCAGTCCTTTGGCCTTCTTTCAAATCAATACAGCTGGCGCCGATGTCCTTTACCAGCAGGCCATCGACTTGGCTGCGCCCAACAAGGAGACAATCATGCTGGACATTTGCTGCGGCACTGGTACCATTGCATTGGCCTTTGCCAAGCATTGCAAGCAGGTGCTGGGCGTCGAAATTGTGCCAGATGCCATCAAAGACGCAGAGCATAACGCAGAAACGAATGACATTAAGAATTGCAAGTTCTTTGCCGGCAATGCCGACGACTATATAAAGAGCATGGTGCGCGAGGCCTTGTATGCACAGGAGCCGGGCAAGCCCATTGATTTAATAGCTGTAGTGGATCCCCCACGTGCTGGACTGCGTAGGTAGTTGATGAACTATGACTAAATAATTGAATTAACATTTTCTCCCTTGCGTTCACTGCAGACACACGTTCCATAGCCGCAATTCGCTCAGCGGGTGACATTAAACGCTTGGTCTATGTGTCGTGCAATCCCAACAGTGCCAAGCGCAATTTCATTGAGCTAGCTCGGCCGGAGTCCAAGCAGTACAAAGGGGAGCCGTTCTATCCGAAGACAGCCGTTGCTGTCGACATGTTTCCACACACAACACACACGGAGCTGGTCATCTTATTTGAGCGTGACTCTAAGGCAACACAAACTGAGTCTGTGGAACAGAAGGCAACAAAAGAGTGCAATGAAGCGTCAACAACAACAGCGTGATGGCAACGGTACAGTTTCTCAATATAAATATATATGAGACCTTGATGCATTATCACTGATAATCACTTTATTACAGCCCTCTCTCACTTGACGCTCTGCTCTGTTCTGCTCGCCTCTCGGTCGCTCACTGCTGCTGCTTATCACGATGTTGACATCCATCATCGGCTCTTTGTGCGACTGGGGTAGCAAATTTTATTGTTTTAAATTGAATTAATTGTATTTACGTTGTTCCGGCGTCTGCCACGAAAAGGCGACTTCCTGTTAAATAGTTTAAGAACTGTGCTCAACCATATTCCCAACTGTCGTCAGTTCGAGACGGTCACTTGATAAGAATTGATGGCAAAACTGCTAAGCGCGAATCGCTTACAAAACAAGTGAAAGCTTACAAAGTGTCAATAATTTTACCTGTGACGCAAACAGCGCTCGACTTTCAAGCGACAAACAATTGCAGTGAGCCTTGCGCTAAAATGTCTGAACAGGTATGCGAGTTGATATTTATATATGAGCGTGGGGTGAAAAATGAACGACCTTAACATGAAGATAAGAGAATATAGAAATATAGAAGAATCTAAAATTATTTTATTTCAATTTATTTAATTATATTTTGAGTAAAATAGGAAATTGACTTTTATTCATTTTGTATAAACAAATTATTTAAAAATATTCTTTTGTTTTAAATGTGAAGTTAATAGAGTTGAAATAGACAGGTTATTAGGGTTAAGATTTATTGAGTCGTGAACGAATATTGTATAGTCGGCAATGACCGGTCTTGACAAATAAGATTGAAGAACACATAAACTTGGCACAACTGAACAAACTGATTAGCTCTATAATGCTTTGCAGCGTTATATGATATATTATCGCAAAGTTTTCAATAAGGTAAACAAATAAATTATATTGCTATTGCAAAAATAATTACAAAGTAACAGCAAAACGAAATTGTAAACATGTTTACACAAACAGATGTCAAAATATCGAATTTGTGAAGCAATCGAGGGCACGTAGTAAATAAACTGATATGTATGTACATACATCTATATTTATAAGTGTATGTGTGTGTATATAAGTTTGAATATATCTGTGTATATATTTAAATATTTATGTCTATATGTATTTATATGTCTATACAAATATGAGAGCAGAATACGTAGCATGCACTTTGGACTCTAATGAGGTGTTTGTCTGCAACGTGAAATGTATTTTAAAAACGAAACAAAACAAAACAAAAGCAAAGGCGGCAGTAACAACAAAACAAAAATAAGAAAATAAGCACAATTTACAATAAATCAAATGAAAAACTATCGAGCGCTGCGACAATGCAAATCGAGCACAGAAGTCGAAACAAAGCAAGCAAAAAAAAAAACAAATAAAGCCTATCGGAATGAGACATACAAACATCAAAACATCGAAAATAATATACATTTGTGTGTTTATTTTTATGTTACGGGGCGTGGTGCCTGGTAAGACACACGCACATCTGATTTTATAAGCTTATAATTGCGATCGTTGCTCGCGTAGAGGAAAGACCTTGACTAGGGAGCTTCGGATTCAAAGCGGTTTGCACACGGGGGAAAAAGCTCTCAATTCGGATGAAATGCTTATGCCTTATCAACAACTCGACTGGGCCGCACGTAAACAAACAACAAGGAAAACAATGACCACACAACCGACCCAAACCGGATTGCGAGAGAGACGCACACAGACGCACCCAGGCATAGAGGGAAAAAGCTCAAAGCAACGGCAATAGTAGGGGCCCGACACGCACGCCCCTTGCAACCGAAAACTTTACACGTGCGCTGCAACAGCGACGCCGTCATGAGCACACGACCAACACGTTTTTGTTTGGAGCAACGCGTGCTTGGCGGAGACTGTGCTGCTGCTCGCTCTCGCTCTTGCTCTCGCTCACACTAACACTCACTCTCACTATCAATCTGTGTTGCCCTCTCAGCTGTCGTTTGTTGTGAGCCGTTTGATGATGTTGAGCTTTTTAGCTGTGGCCGCTATGCGCTTTATAAGGCACTCAAGCGTGTATACAAATATTTGTACGCTTCACATATACCCTATAGGCAGTCGAGGTTGGCTGGAGGATACACAACACGCTGACCTGAAATAAGGGCATAAGATGTAAATGATTTTTCAGACTACGCATCTTGAGCGATTTTATAATTAAATTAAGTGCATTTCGCTCTTTTCTCGATACTCTTTGTTCGATTCTTTGTTACCTGGCAACGTTTATCACGAGTTGATTCTAGAGTATCGTAGAGTCGGCTACGTCATGTTTGTATGTATGTTAGTCGAATATACACGTTTTATGAACTGTTTTTGCTGTTCTCGCCAGCTGAGGCCAACAACATTTTATAATAAAAAGTCGAAGCAGCAACTGTACCCCGAAAGTTGAAAACCAAAACAAACCGCCAACGTCGACACAAACACAATGAAAACAGGCAGCTAAAGCTTTGCAGTGCCCGAGCTGTTTACGATAAAAAGAATTCGTTTAAATTGCGCGCACAACAAAAGCGCTGGGAACAGTTGCGACTGCAACGTCGGTCGACGACGACGGAACGTCTAGAAGGTCCTTCCTTCAACCAAAAACAAAGGATACCAAATAAAAGGAAACCAAGAAAAAACAAAAAGTTTTAAAAATTCAACAACTTTAACCTAGTACAAAATGCTTGCCTAGCAAAGCAACAAATTGCGCATACGCCGCGTTGTGCAAATAGCAAAATTCAAATACAAAACAAAGCAAACTTAACTGTGATAAGCTACTTTTAATTTCCTCATTCAATATTTACTGTGAGCTCAAAAGAATAACAAAAAACTGTGCAACTAGTCGCAGCAACGATGTCCGTACCAATGTTACTAACGCCGCTGGAACCCCAATCCCTGGACGAGCACATGCAAAATGTAAATACCTTTAAGCAATTCTTTTAATATCAAAGTAAATTAAATCGCAGCGAGCTCCTGGTGTCGTCAACCTGCAGTGCATTGTGCAAGTGCCTTTGTGCCTTCTTTTGACATTTTACTTAAGTTGAAGGTCAAAGCTGCTTGTCATAAGCAAACACTTAGTATAAATGTAGTATAGATTATATAGATTCGTGAGCAAGTCATATACTCAGGTATAATATATGAAACATGAGCTGCAAATTAGTTGTGTCCCCATTTGTTGAATTGTCTTTCTTCGAAGTTTTATGTGGGTGATATCATTTCCAGTGTATATATATTGTTTATAACAGAAAATTGATTATTGGTGGCTGAGTCATCTGCAACTGTAGCCCCATTGCTCTTTCGCCCTTTTGCTTTCTCTGCAAAAGCTCTGCCACATGTTGCAAAATTTTGCCGACACGTGTTCATGCCACAGTGGCTGTTGCTATCGACTTTCTGTGCATTCGCGAAAAACTCGCCCACAGAAGTGGCACTTCAGGCTCGATAAGATTGTGGCTAACTCAATTTATAAGCCTAATATAAACAGCCAATTTATGGAAGTGTCGATTCCAATCAATGCAAAGAATACAACAAAGGAATTTCCCTGTAAACTAAAACTATGAAGCCGATGGTAAGAAACTTGTCTTCTTGCTGCCATGTAAATAGAGCCAAGAGAATGTACCAAAAGCTTTTTACATGAAATTTCCCAAAACAAAAAACACATGAGTTGAAAAGCTCTTCAGCGCGAGAGAGGAGAGGGAGAGAGAGTGAGAGTGAGTTTGCCTAAATTTGGTTGCCAACACGTGCCAAAGATATTAAGACGAAAAACATTGCTATTAGCAGAATTAAAGGCGAATTTCATCATTTGAAAAGGAAAACAATTTAATTAAATTATAAAACATATATATTTCGCACCCTCAGGTGCTTAGTGTCTGTGGAAATTTGTTGTTGCTAGATAGGCCATTGGCAAACGATTTAGTTTTGAAGCGTTAGCAAGGCTTCGCTAATTGTGCCAAGAACGTAAGGGGCCTGGCCAAATGATTGACGTAACACACAATAACAACAACAACAACATACGGAAACTATGCAATACTATAGCAAGACATATATATAGTTGGCATCGTAATATATGCCAAGTCCTATAGAACGGAACGTCTCTCCCAGCAGAATTTTTTTGTTTTTTTTTTTTTGTCTAGCGCTAAATTTTGGCCATTAGCATTCGCATTGCTGTTGGCCCGATTCGACTCGCGCTGTTTGGTCGTTGCGTGGGTGCGTTTTTCTGTTGAAATTGTAATATTCTATAAATTTCGAAGTCCAAGTTGATCAAAACAAATTCGCGACCTTAACACGTGATCGTGCAGCAGCAGCAACAACAACAAAAACAGCAAGCACCGTTAATTATTGTCATTTTTTATGGCTTTTTTGGCTGCATAAATTTGGAAGCGATTCGTTTTGGTTGCTAGGGGCAGCTGTAGTGACGTCATGAAGCTTTGTTTACAGCTACAGCGACAAGTCCATCGTTTGCGTTGGCAACAACGCGCGCGTTTTTACACGCAGGTAAATCGCGCACGTCCATGCGTTTTAAAACGTGCGCGTTTTTGTTAGCTGTTGTCAAAGATCTTTGATAAATGTTGAAATTTTAGTTGCTTTGCGATAAGCTTCAAAATGTTGATTTATAGATGTGTGTGTGTATTTATAATGTTTTTTGGACACATTTATTAAAGCAAAAACAATCTTAAGATTAGTTTCCTTTAAGAAAACGTCGTGTAATCGTTTCATAATTTGTTTTCACAAACATCGCATATTTTCCTTGTTTTCTTTGTTGAACAATGTGTTCTAGTACACAAAGAGCCACATATATATGCATTATATATATTCATAAATCTATTATAGACTTCTAGATCGCAATGTGCTGTTCTGCTCTGTTGGCACGTGTCTGCCGTGTAAACATCACATATATCATATATATTATATGTGTTTATAAGTAAATGTGAGTGTCTATATATATATACTGTATATTTGCATATAGATCGGCGCACATTCGACAATGGTGTGTGTTCTGATTAGCCAGCTTCACTGGTAGCTGATTAAAACTTAATTGGAAATTGTTTAAATCTTAATCTCGTAGCTCGACTGTTGGGCGGGGCTTGGGAGGGGTCAACACGTGATTTTGTTTGCACTTGCGCCAAAGTCACGAGCTGTTAAGACGTCTCTGATAACCTGCGATCTATATTCTAATAATATAACTGATTCGTATGCTGTCGCAGCTTCCTTATCGTTCAGTTAGTTTTTGAATATTTTAGCCGCCGTCTGGTGCTTTTGGCATTCAGTTGTTGCGCGGATTTCGTAGTCGTCGCCATGCTCGCCTACTCACTAATCCTTGCCCTTGGCGTCTCATCTGTTTTACAGTGCGCAGATGCTGCAGCAGCCATCAGCGCCACCAGCTATGGCAACACGGGCAACGAGCTGATCGAGTCGTCTTCAGGAACCAGCAACTGCAAGCCCACGCTGAGGAAGTTCAATGTACGGCTGGAGACACCGCTGGCACCCGAGGAGCAGTTGGGACTGACTGGCGATGCCAAGGCGTTGGGCGAGTGGCAATTGTCGCGCTGCGTGCCGCTCGAACGAATGGATGAACTCACCTGGCAGACTCATGTGCGGCTGCAATCGTGCCGCCAGCTGGAGTACCGTTACTTTGTCTACGTGGAGAATGCGGCGGGCTACAAGCAAATCCGTCGCTGGGAAACGCACTTCAAGCCACGTGTGCTGGATCCCTGCATGGACCAGCATTGCCACAGTCCACTAGATGTATTCGGATTGGCCAGCGTGGATGAACGCTCGGCTCAGGTGCATCGCGGCTGGCTCAACCATGAGGCGATTGTACAGCTCAAGTTCAATGGCGAGAAGATGTTCCAAGTCCACGATATCGAGACTTTTGATCCACAGCATGTGCAGCTGAAAATTGTGCCCGTCGAGGAGACCGCTGGACTGGTCGTAGAGTACAGCAAGCAGCTCTACGGCAAGAGTCAACTGCAGCTGCAGCCGGCGCATGGCGTATCCTATACCAAGGGCGATATTGTCATCTTTCACATCACCTTGCCGCTGGATCGCATGATGCTGCAGAACTTCCGCTTGGAGTGCTATAGCTTGGCGCAGGAGCTGTTGGGCAGCGCCTCATTGAGCGCCTCGCAGCTGGCGGGCAGCGAGGGGCTGCTACAGCTGCACATCAAGTCCGCCCAACGGCCTGAGGAGACGCTGGCTCGCCTGAGACTGCCCTATGTGGTGGTGCAGCCATATCAGTACTCGCCACTGGACTTTAAGACCACCTACGCCCACTACTGGCCGCGCAGCTGGCCCAACCTGGATGTGGGCCATCGCGGCAATGGCAAGAGCTACATTGCTGACGCGCCATTGGAGCGCGAGAACACAATCGCCTCGTTCTTGAGCGCCTATTCGCATTATGCGGATATGGTTGAGCTGGATGTGCACCTGACGGCTGATGGAATACCTGTGATCTATCACGACTTCGGCCTGCGCACTGCGCCGCCGGGCAAGCAGATTGAGAAGCCCGAGCAGCTGGAGTACGTGTTGATCAAGGACATTAACTATGAGCTGCTCAAGCGGCTGCGCATCTTCTCAGTGGTCAATGGCAAAGTGATGGAATACCCAGCACATAATGCGGAGCCTCGTCCGGATCATCGCATCTTTCCCAGATTGGTCGAAGTGCTACAGCAGCTGCCCAAATCGCTGGGTATCGATGTGGAGATCAAGTGGCCCCAGCGGCGCCAGGGCGGCGGCACTGAGGCGGAGCAGACCATAGACAAGAACTTCTTTGCGGATCGTGTGCTGTACGAGGTCATTCAATTTGGCTGCGGCCGCCCCTTGATCTTCTCCAGTTTCGATGCAGACATGTGCACCATGCTGCGCTTCAAGCAGAACATCTTCCCGGTCATGTTCCTCACTCAGGGCGAGACGAAGAAGTGGCAGCCATTCAGTGATCTGCGCACTCGCAACTTCCTGGCCGCCGTCAACAATGCTCAGGCCTTCGAGCTGGCGGGCACGGCGCCTCATGCCGAGGATTTTCTGGGCGAGAATGCCGCCCATATGCTGCAGCAGGCGCATGTGCAGGGACAGATAACCGTCGTCTGGGGAGACGACTGCAACTCAAAGGAGCGCGTCAAGTATTTCACGGAAATTGGAGCAACAGCCACCTGCTACGATCGCAGCGATCTCCATGTGCCGGAGACCAAGCAGCGATCCTTCTTCAATTCCAGCGCGCTGCTCGCCGAGTTCGAGGCTCAATGCAGAATATAAGAGGGGAAATAGGGCTATAAGGAATGGGTATTGAGGGTAGCCACTGTAGTCTTAAGCATTAGTTGGGTTGAGCTGAGTTCCCAACCAAAAACGACTCAATGTACACCATATACGAAGAGTTTGTATATACTGTTGCACCTATCTATAGAATGTAAATATCTGAGAGGCAAAATATATATTTTGTTATATCTATGCGAACTCAGCTAAGTCTTATTGAAGCTATATTTGTATTTTGATCTAAGTAAATTGTTTTTATATTTATTCAAATTATACAGAAACCAAAATTTTATAGAAAAGTTTCGCAGGCGAGCTCAGGGATGGAAAATTAAATTTATATGAAATAACTAAAGGAATGCTTTTAAATAAATTTATATGCAATTGCTCTCCACATTATAGATCTTTGTTCTGCTTCATTTGAACAACAAAAAACTATTTTTATATCAATTATAAAAGACAATGCTTAAAGCTTCATTCATAACACAAAGAAAAATAAAACAAAAACGGAAAATGGATTTATGTAAAAAAGAAAATAAACAAATATTGTGAAAATAAATGTTTAATAAAAAAAGGAAATGATAGAAAAAAAATTTAATTGTGACAATATGTTGTAAAAAACAAAAAATATATTTGGTATGAAATGCTAAAAAGGGAATAAAAATATAAATAAATAAATTTCTTATATATAAAAAATATTTCAGAAAAAATGTCTGCAAAGAATTTAAAGCAATAAAAATATATTTAAAAAAAAAAACAATTTGATATTTAAATAAACATTTAAATCATTTGCTTATTAAGAGAGAGGAGAGAACGCACAAGAGACAGAGAGAGAGAGAGAGAGAGAGAAGAGAGGGAGAGAAGAGAGGGAGTGTGAGAGACAGATCGAAAGTGATGGAAAGGCAGAGAGAAGGAAAAGAGGGATCTGTAGTGCGGTTGGGAGACATAGAAAGCGAAACAAAGAGAAAAAGAGAGGGAAACAGTTGAAAAATCAGAAGCACACTGAGAGAGTGACGGTGTGTCTGAGTGAGAGTGTTAGCGAGTTAATAAAGAAAACATTCACTTAATAAATTCTACATGGCATTATTCAATAGGCTCTGACGAATTCTTTCGTTCCATATAATGTCAGCGAGAAAACATCTGTCGTAAAATGAAACAAGTTAGCCACGGCCCAGTATTCAACGCTCAATTGTGGAGCAGCTCATTTGCATGGAGATGAAGCTGAAGATAAAGACAATGTTGACAACGAATCGTCGCTTGGGGCCACATTGGAATCTATTTTTGTGTTTGCTGTGTGCGTCACTTTTCGCTTTGGGTTTCGCTTGGAAATGTCTGTTCAAAGAGTTTCCAGTGGACGAGGAAAGGGTGAATGAATGTGTCTTGTTCTCGAAACAGATAAGCAAATTAAACTTGATCCTTATATTCATACATATATATATTTACATATGTGTATGTGCCTGTAGATCCGAGGAATTTGGTATATCTACGCCTCGAGTCCAAGTGAATCCGACTTATGCTTGATCAGAGGGTGTAAGTTTAAGCTTCTATCAGGTAATAGGAACTTCATTAACCTGATATGCCATTTTCAGTGGACCGGTATTGGAATCGCATCACTTATACGGACTACAATCAATTTGCCGTGGAGATGCATTGCTCGTTGCCCTGGTTTCGACAGCAAATGGTGATCTATACGCGCATGGAGTACCCCAAACCATACATACTCGGTCTGGTGAAAAAGTATCTGATCAGCGTGAAGGTATCGATGGAAGAATTTTTGTTGGTCAATAAGGCAACATGCAAGAAGAACTCTACAGAGCCCATTCAGCACTGGCATCTGTCCAAGTACTTGCACATGGGCTACCATTCGCATTACGTGATGCCCCTCGTTATTGACGCGAATATCTGAGTTGCTCTTTCGAACTTTCTTCACAATAAACCTACGGAATTTACATATGCCAATTTTTGGGGCCAACCTGATTAGTTCGTGGCAACTTATTAATCAAGCCCAAAGAGGAATAACTAAAGTGTGTACACTGAGAAAAATTAACGAAATATGTATAAAAAAATAATAATAAAAAATAAAAATAAAAGAGTCAAAAGAAGCTAAAAATAGTTTTCTAATCTAATAAAAATTATAATAATTTTCTAATTATAATTGCAATTAATATATACATATATATTATATTTTTTTCAGTTAAATTATCTATTTTCTTTCAGTGCATTCACAGCTGCTTCTCTAGCCACAAAACTGTGCTGAGCATTAAGAAATTCTTTCATTCTATCGTTTGTTAGCGCCGGGCTAAGAGCTCAACCAAGTCGAGAGTCATCTTCGCGTTGCGTGGTTGAAGAAAACAAGTTTTTTTTACATTTTGTGCGAGATGATGGTGCCGCTGCCGCTGCCGCCTAATTTGGAGAAGAACAAAAATGTATCGAGTGCTAAAATCAATTAGCATACTCTATAAGATCGCTCTGTTGTTGTGGCCATTGTTTTGCAAAGCGGCAGATTCAACAATTCTCAATGGATCGTCTGTGTTTAGCCAAGCGCAGCTGCAGGCCTTCAATATATTTGATAGTGACCGACCCACACAGATAACCGCACGCAGTTTTCTCTGTTTGCCCTTCTTTCGAGTGTTCAACGTGGAGCTGCGCGCCGACCTACAGCTGGCTGCCGATGAGGAGATCGCTGTTAGCGGCGATCATCCGGCTCTCGGTGCCTGGAGCATTGCCAAGGCGCTGACCCTGCGCGCCCAGAATAAGCAGCGCAGCAAATGGTATCTGCGCCGTTGGATATGCGCCAGCCATCGTGTCTACTATCGCTATCTGATCTATGCGCGAACCCCGGCCGGCGATCGTGTGCTGCGTCGCTGGGAGGGGCAACAGGTGGCGCGCATGTTGCAGACCTACGAGATCTACCGGTCGCCGGGCGTGGATATCTTTGGCGAGGCCTATCCGCGGTCAGTGGGCGGCGGGCACTCGCTGGAGCGTGGCTGGCTGCAGCGTGAATATGTCATTGAGCTGAAGTTCATTTGGCAGCGGCACTTGCTGCTCGCCGGCCTGGCCAATCCACAACAGAAGCTGCGCCTCAAGCTGCGAACGCTTGGCGTGCTGGACAATGCGTTGATCGAAGTGTCGCGTTACGCCTACAATCGTTCCTCCTTTCGGCCGCAGGGCCGTCAGGGCATCAGATATGCTCCTGGTGCCATTGTTATCTTTCGCATCAGTCAAGCGCTGGACGTGTCCAATGCCTTTGGGCTTTCGGTCTATGAGCTGGATGCCGAGGGCCAGCTGCCCTTGGGCGAGGCTTATATACTGCCCGAGCAGCTGCGTGGCAGTCGCGGCATTCTGCAGCTGGCCATACAGGGTCAGGTCACACAGCAGGTCATAGGTCAGCTAACGTTGCCCTATCTGGTTGTGCGACCCATGCCAAATGCAGCCAGCAGCAATTTGCGCTTTAGCTTTCAACGCTACTGGCCCAACAATTGGCCCACCTTAGACGTAGGCAATCGTGGACTGGGCAGCAGCCATCAGGCCATCGTGGAGAACACTATTGAAAGCTATTTGGCTGTGACCCGTGCCAAGGGCGATATGGTGCACCTGGATGTGCAGCTGACCAGAGACTACGTTCCGGTCATTTGGCGGGGCTTTGGCTTCTATACCACCAGCCGGACGAACACACAGCCCGTTGAGGATCGCTTTGATTTGCGCTATGTTCTCATACAGGAACTCAGCTATGCAGAGCTCAAGGCGAGTCGTGTCTTCATCCTGAAGAGATGGACTTTGCAGGAGTACACACATCTGAATGTGCGCAATGTGAGCCAGATGCAGCGACTGTTTCCCAAATTGAGCGAGGTGTACGAGGCGCTGCCCAAGACACTTGGCCTGGTCGTAGGAGTCAAGTGGCCGCAGCTGATGGTCTCTGGCGATTTGGAATCAACGCAGGCGCTAAACAAAAATGTGTTTGTGGACAGAATATTGGAGGTGACAGCGCATTATGGCTGCGGACGTCCTCTGATCTTTACCAGCTTTGATGCCGACATATGCACCATGATGCGACTGAAGCAAACGGCCTTTCCCGTTATGCTGATGACCACGGGCCGCACGGACATTTGGGATGCCTACATGGATCTGAGAACACAAACATTTCTGCAGGCCGTCAACTTTGCCGAGAGCGCCGAGCTGCTCGGCACAGCTGCACATGTCCAAAACTTTGAGCAGAGACAAAAGCTGGTGGATTTGGGCCTCGATCTAATGCAGGTCGTCTTCATTTGGGGCAGCGATCTGCAGGATGCGCAGCAGTTGGAGCTGTTCCGTGCCATCGATGTGACTGGCCTGATCTACGATCGCATTGATCGTGTGGGTCCAGCCAATTGGAAGCGTGCGCCCTTCTTCCAAGCGCCCCAGCTGCTGGAGGTGTTCGGTGGCCAATGCGTGGCCATTGGCAACTCGACAACGGTGCCGGGCGCCAAGCCAACAAAGCCAACGGTCTGGCCCAAAATGAGAAAATGAGTGTCTTAACACGAATCTTATATGGCAGCAGCGTGCTGCTCTATTTGGCTTTCCGTTCGATTTAGATTATGATGGTATTCATGGGAATAAATATAAACTTAATTTATTCTACGGTCTAGCCCAAAATGAAAAGATGTGAGCGTTAAAATTTAATTGATTAATTTTATATATATGCAGAATAGATTTTTAATTTCATATTTGATATTCCACTGAGATAAGATACAGGTGTAAATTTTTCATTTAAAAGAAATTAATTGTATAATAATACTCTTATGTATATAAAGTAGAAGGTCTTATAGTCACACTAGAGAAAATATATATATATAAAGTATAGTTTGGCTTAGGCAATAGAAACTAAAATAATTTTGTATAAATTAATTTAAAATTTAAGTTACTAACATAACTAAAGAAAAACTGACTTTGGCTAGCTGAAGATCAAAAACTAATGCAGGTTTAGAGCATTTAAATTTTATATTAAGTCCACATATTCTATTGACAATATGCATATATCTATATAGAGGTAAAATATGATAAAGCTTTTTCAAAATCTTGGTGCAAATTAGAGAAGTTAAGATCTAGAGAAGCAGCAAAATTAAAAAAAATTATTTCATAACGAAATGTTTCTAAAGAACGAATATTTCGCAATTAGTCAAGAGCTGGGATCTAATAAATATGTCATTGGAGCTATGAAAGGTCTTATAAAAAAAGCTTTGAGCCTTAGCGACACCCTTGTAATAAGCTTGGAGTACGCTGCTTATTTTTATAAATTCAACAAATGAAATTCATAAAACAAATTCTAAAATTACTTTAATTTATGTAAATATTGTAAGAGAATATTTTGTAAAGCTGCTGAAAGTCATTAGACTCTAAGTTGATCTCAATATAGTAGAATTGTTTAGTGAATGTTTTTAAATATACTTTATTTATACAAATATTATTATTTGTTATTTGCAAAACGCGCACCAGGTAGTCGTACTCCTCCATTAAACCCACTAAACATAGACACTAAACAAGCAATCAAAGTGATCGACGCGAGCACAAAGAGACGGGAGAGACAGAGAGGCTGAGTGGTTTTAAAAATTGCTGCAGTGCGAGCCGCTGTAGACCTCCATGAATTCACCGGAAATGCAGGCACTGCCCACGCCCATGTTCATGGGCTGGCAGAGGCCTGGAACCTTGCTGGTTATCTCAATGGTGCACGCGCCGTGGCCATGTCCGTGTCCGTGCGGATGCTTGTGCTGCTGTCCTGTTGGTAGCTTTATGAAGGACGCCTTGTTGCTGACGCGTGGCTTCTGGACGGGCTCGTCGGCGAACTGCAGCCAGGCTGGCGGCATTGAGTGATGCATGCGCGTGGAGTCAACGTTCTCTTGATCCTGGTCCACATCTAGCGGCAGCTCGACGGCTTCCACATCGACATCGTCATCGATTAGCGGAAAGGGTGTGTACTGCGTCTTGGCCTTGCTGTTCGGCGGATCATCAGAGGCAGCGCTCAGCAGGTGGGGCGCCAGCTCCAAGGCGTTGGCAATCAGAAGGGTTGTCGCACAGCAGAGCAGCAACTGCAATGAGGCCATGCTAGTGTAGCTGCTTGGACGATGCTTGATCCTTTGGTCCTGAATAAGGATTCGCACTTTGACTGCTGCTTCCAAACGTTGCGAGCCCTCGGCTGTTCCGGTTGAGAATGTTGCTTGGCAGGCACAGGACGTTGGTTTTTATAGGGCAGCTGCAACCCGGCGATTGCGCTTGGTCAGCTTAGCTGGACAGTCAATGAACCCCGGGCGCCATCTATACAATTGAAATTGAAAAGAAGCCACTCAAGTAAAGAACACACACACACATACACTTGCACAAAAATCGTAATTAATTGTAGCTCAGCATACGCTCTGTGAGCCAGCAGGCGAACTACAATGGCAAGGACAATGGCAGGAGCTTGAATACGTATTTGAGCTGCTTGTGGTGCTTCTCGGCAGCACTAGCTGAGATGATGAGAAAATTGAAAATCTATTCGAATATCTTTTCCTTTGCGTCGCATTCTATTTGATTTCATTTGTGGCATAGCCACTGCCACTGCCAGAGCCACATAGTCAAAGCCATTGCCGCTTTCCTTTTGTATTTCCGGCAATTATTTTCGACGATGTGCCAATATCGCTAACGACAGCAGCCGGCGGCTGGAGACAAGCTAACGACTTCATAAGCAGCGCCAGCCATTCGATTTCCCATTCAATTCAATTCAAATGTACATATTACCTTAAAATTGCGATGCGGCTGCTGCTCAGGCAGCGGATGTGACGTTGACGCCATTTTTAAAAATGGTGCCTACGTGTGCGACGTGTTTATGGCAGCTCAGCTATTGCCCAAGCAGCCCAGTGTCAGTGTCAATAAGCACGCCATCGAGATGCCACATGGAATCATCTCGCATAACGAGGGCTTGGCAAATTAATCTCTCTTTGACTGCAGTATTCAATTGCAAGCGAATCCAACAAAAGCTCAGCAATTATTAACATTGCATACTTTTTGGTAACCAAAGGCAAAGCCGCAAAGAAAAGAAAAAGAGTAGCGTGGCCCTGGCGCTTAAAACAGATAATGAGTTCCATGGAAACCAAGGTCAATAGCACCCGTCAATATGCTCTTGGGGACACTCATAAGCCAAGCAAGGAAACATAAAGTGAAATGATAAGACTTTAACAGCTTATCGTTTGTGTATCAGCGAAGCTCAACCCGGCACTCGTTGCTCTCCATTAGCCACAGTGTATGTGTGTATCTGTGCTTAAGTCGGGCCACATAGATAATCAAATAATCCCGCGTCTGTCAAAGATAATTCAATTTTTGCAGCACGTGCAGCTGAGAGACGCACAAAAATTAATTTACGCACTCTGGTATTGGCACAGGTTGACTAGCTTGATGCGTTGGCAGCTCGATTTGATTATGGCCTCGCACTTGAACATAATGGATGGCATCGTGTTGCCTGCTGCCTCTGTGACAGTTGCCCGTGGGCGTTAAGCAGCTTAACCCTACTGTGGTTCACCTACAGTGCCTAGCGCCAGGCGAACTAATTAAACGCCGTCGCCTCAGACTTGGCCTTCGTTCCATGGCCCAGCCAATTAGAGTAGCTGTCGCAGGCTGAGCAAAAGCATTCGGCGCACAAATAATTCAATTAAATTGCTCACGAATGGCAGCCAGAAATTAACAACAACAGGATGCCAAAACGAAACCGAGCAGAGTGAGCCGAGGTGGCGAGGGGCCGACCGAGTTGCCAGACCACAGAAACCGCAGAACCAATGCCTCAGCTGCCAGCAAATGCAAACAATTCCAGCATATTCGCCGCAAAATGCCAGAATACCAAAATTCCAAGCACAAAACCAACTGAACTTGAATTGACTCTTTGACTCTCAATTGAATAGCTCTATTAAACGATATTATATGTATAATCCATGTCAAATAATCTATAATGCGAATAAATAGAATAGAATAGAATAGAATAGAAACAAACAATTTTATTGTTAGACTCGACTCAGATATAGCTTGAAAACTAAGACTTAAATGCAATAAATTTGCTATGAAAATTCTTATAAAGTAATGACGGCAGTTCGAATATATTGCTTTGATTATTTTAGCATGCAACATGTTGTTATCAATAACATAACCATATATATTTATATATATTTAATTATTAATTTAAAGCTTTACTTTAGGCAAGCTTTTATATGTACATGTGATGGGCGCTGTGCATAATCTATATTAGCATCATTAGCGCTTCTGACTACTTAATATGCAAATGGTATATAAATGGCTACGATGCAACACGTAAAGCTTCAGTCACTGTTTGCCGTCGTCTGTACCATCAAATGGATTGGTTCTCGTTCCTCGGACTGTTCTGCCTGTTGGCACTGCAGATGCGCGCTGCAAACGCCGATTGCTGTGCCGAGGCAAAGGTCGTGAAGTACAAAGTATTGAATGGAGCGTGCGGCGTGGTTAATGGCCAAAGATCGAATGACGGCAACTGCGTTATCGAGATATGTGGCGATGGAAGGCCACTAAGGGGCACCTTCTGTGGCCGCCGATCGTGCAATTTATTCGGTTGCGATTGCGACAATGGCTGCCTGTCAGGCAACTGGGAGAACACCTTGGTGAGCAACGCGAATAATTACAAAGTTGAGATCTTAGAAGTGTCATGGAAAAACTTATCGCCATTCCGTGCACCCTCCCAAAGTGTATGGGACTTGGGAGCTTCAATATTTAAAGGCAAAAAATAATTACGGAATATGTTAGATGTAAATCAAATTATTAAAAAATGTTTTTTAAATTTCAATAAATCTTGCGAGCAAAAAATTTCTATATACATAGAAGGATTGGGTATATATATATATATATATAACAATTGATAAATTGGTAATTGCTTATAGTTAAATGTTTCAGAGTTGTAAGCATAGGATATGATTGACCTACTCTATGAGTAGACCTCTGAAACATGTAGTTCACGCATTGGACGTTGATTAGTTAACAGACTTTGCTGCTGTGTGTGTACTCCATATAGCATTAACTGTAGTTGGACTCTGTTCTATGTATATAGACTCTAAGATATAGTAACAAAAGGCTATATAAGCCTTGATCTACGTATATATTTTTATAAAAACTCCTAAAATGATGAGTTATAAATATTCCATGAAACAGCGCGTTTTTAAATCCCAATATTAAAAAAGCTAATTACGCCGTAGCGGCGCTTTTTTGATTGTTTGCATTGTGTTTGATTTAAATGCACAAAACAAACAAATATTGTGCTCAAAAATGATAAGTAAAATGATTACAAAAAAAAGCATTTGATAAGCCCTTAGCCTTTTACTCTTCACGAAATAACAAAGTTGCATTGAGCAGCTGTTGCCTTCGTTCAAAGCTCATTCTACTATTCCAGGAAACATTTATAGTGCACAGGCTCTTGCGCCAGTTAGTGTTGCAGCCAAAGGTTGCATGTTGAAGGTATCAAAGTTTTGTTATCTGATCATAAT